CCCCCCCCCCCCCGTACGTCTGATTTATGCCCGACGAGATACGCGCGCGCGTGACCGCTCGGCGAGAGATCGCGCACGGCAATTTTTCCCTATTCATCACGCCTATAACCAGCTTGTTGCAACAGCGGCGACGATGGCGGGGCGGCAACGACGAAAGCTAACGTTAACGTTCTCAAACTCGCGGACCCTCCTCCCTCTCTCTCTCTCTCTTTCTCTCCTTCGCTCTCTTTTACTCCCTCCCTCGGTCGTGGTCATTTCTCTCTCTCATCGCGATTATACTAATATGCTTTGACTCTAATGGTGTCTTAAATTTCTGTTTTCGCTGTTTTAGCGTCAAAAAAAAAAAAGAATTCAATCCGGAAAATTAAAGGCTCGGGAGAAAAGTTGAAAAGTGCCCGTATTGTCATAGTAGATTTTTATTAGTCTATAGGATGTCTAAGTAGGCGCAAATTATCCTAAAGAACCTCGGAGTAGCGTGAAAATTGTTCGACCCGGGGCAAATTCCTCCTATTTCCGTTTCTCTCTCTTAACCTTCGAATAACAAGGCCCATGCGGTTGTACGTACAACGAGGTCAGATTCGGCCCAACCTTGTTGATCGAGGATTAATACGATCGTCATCGTCGTTCGCCACCCGTTTTCCTCCGTTCCTCCTCCTCGAAAGGTCCCTTCCCCCTGCGTCATCATTCTCGGGAGAGAGACAGCGATTACGCGCAACGATCGCCGAAAATTGTTTACTTCCGCGCGCTCGGCAGGGTTCAATTTTACGACAAAAAGCTCAGTGTCCTATTCCCTCCCTCCCCGGGCCCTTTTCGCGCGTTATCTCGGTTGTAGCACTTACAATGGCGGGCATTATCCATCGACTTTCCCCTTGTATAAGTTACCACACCACGTGGCGCCGGCGGAGCGATAGTAATACGCTCTCTCCTCTGTATGAACTACCGTAATGCCGAGTGGAACAAAGCGCAGCGGCGAACGGATGGAGAAACTTAATCTTCCGCGAACGCGTTCCGCAATGTAATGAATGCGAATAATACAGAAACGGTAAAAGGTACTCTCTCTCTCTCTCCCTCCCTCCCTACCCGCCGGCCCTCTTCCCCGTTATCGTAGTCTCTTATCGCGGCTGCCTATAAATTAGAAACTTGTTGTATCGCCGCTACCGTCGCGGATTACATCGCGGAAAGATCATACGCGCGTGTGTACATGTGTGCATATGTGTATGTATGTATTTATTAATGAGACTCGATTTTTCCTCACCAAACGGCGAGATTCTCCCCGCCGGAGGTACCGGGCGTCCTCCCTCTCTCCTCTATCTCTCTCTCGTTCTTCCGATTTTAAACGGCGGCGCCGCCGTCGTTCGCATTAATCTCTGATAGAGAGCGCGCGATGATCGTTTCACGCGTGTGTCAGTAGGAGAAATAAAGCTTCCGGATGTGTACGCTCGGAAATAAAAGGCACGATTTATTATGCGATATTTCGCGTTCACGCGCCTCCGCCCGCGCGCGCGACCGTATGTAAACGCCCCGGCGGTCGCACGTCGAGCGTAGTATATCACGCGTTTACTACATTTTTGTGAACGCGCCAGAGAATAATTAGAGCGCCGCGTATATGTCCCGCGTCCACGCGCGCGCGATATTCCTCTTCGACGCGGGAGTCGGAGGGAAGAGAGAGATCATCGGCGGTGCGACTACATCCGCGGGAATACCGCGCGGACGCGACACTCCCCGGCGACACTTCGCCACCGCGGTTTCGCGCTGAAATAATTATAGGGGAGAGATGAGGGACAGTTATTCTTTTTTTTTTTTTTCTTCAGGCGCACAATTTTGACACTTTGTCTTTCGTAGCTTTTCAAAATTTCGCGACGGCGAAAGTAGAGGTGACTGATTTGTTTACTTTACTGTGGAAGTTAATACAAAGTTGAACGAACTATCTTAATAATTATGAAATCAAATTATGCAATGAAATAAATTGTAAAGTTATAATTTGTCTCGACTCTCCCCCCGCAAGAGGGAGAATTGGGACAAGGTATTAGAAGTAACTGTACTTTCATTATTAATGCACTTGTTATTTGTAATTGTAAGCCATTCATTAAAGTATTAGCATTTACAGTCAATTTTATTGAAATACGCGACATTCATTAAACTCATTCATACATATATGTATATGTTATATTCCAAACAAAAAACAAAATAAATTAATTTTTTGTTTTTATACAAAATATTTGTCCCTGAAAATGTTCCAAATATAAAATATAAAATGAAACAATTGGTTTTTTAAACGAACGATAAAATCAAGTCTGAAGTTTTAAAAATCAATTATAGAGAAAGAACAATGTTTTTTCTCCATTTGCTTACTATTTTTGGCAGCACGGGCTTTTAGTTCAGAAATAATTTGATTAACGTAATAAATAAAAGTTATTTCTTAAAACTGCAAAATGAAAAGGCGAACGAATAAAATAAAAACAAATGTTTTGTGAAAAAATGATAATAATATCAAGACTGATACAGTAAATTAGAAATTTATGGGGAACTGTAAAGACATCTCAAGGGAGGGTTGGGGCGTCTCAACTCTCCTTTGATGAAACATTCCAACTCTCCCTGGTTGATTTCTTTAAAACCGCTGCCAAAACTTTTAAGTTAAACATTGAGGTTAGAGTACACTATAAAGTTGTACTATAAAGTTCAATAACTACCTGTTACAATGCGTTGAATAAGATTCTTATAAAATGCAAGCGCCAGAAGAGATATCACAAATCTTATAATAAGAAAATAATCGCTTCCGATAGAGTCAGAAATGATTTCGTTTGATTTGAAATCATACTTCGAACAACGTGATAACCAAATTTTCATACATATCATACAGAGGCGCGTCATCTGCATTCTAATGAAAAGTGTCACCACCAACTGGTACATAACAGCTCTTCCTCATCTCCCCTATTCCGTCTCCGCGTCGTCTTTTCGTTTCACCAGCGGTGGACGTCGAGACTCAAAAACCGCGTCGCGGGACACGAATTCGCCCCGCGAGATTTATTCGCAACCTTCTCGCACACACACACACACACGCGCGCGCGCGCATTTCGGTGAATTACGCACGTGTCGAAATATGCTGCCGCGGGAGTTTTACGCGTTTATCGTCGCGGTTACGCGTTTAATGACGCATAGCGCCCTTCCGCGAGATGTAACATCTCTTTCGCGCGCGTTCATTTCGCGGCAATTTCGTTTCTGCCGGGCTTTTCGGCGCGCTCGATTTTCGTCGTGGGACGCCGGGCGCTTCCTCTCTCTCTCTCTCTCTCTCTCTCTTGGGACTTGGTTTAAACAGACCGGTTTGACGTGGGCTCGTTGGTTTGCTGACCGACCGACCGGTCGATTGCGCTCTCGATAGCGGTTAATCGCGGGGGCGAAAGCGGGTTTGCGGTTCAAACTTTATTTCGCATTCGTCGCCCACAATGCACTCCCCCGATCGCACCCTCTCGGACAGCGGCCGTGGAAAAAAAGGGACGAGAGCAGACTCCGTCTGCAAGGGTGTCGAACGAGCAAGGGGAAGGGGGCGGGATGGGGGATTATTTTTGTTTTCGGATTCGAGCGACTTGCTGCGGCTCCCCCGCGAGCGAACGTGACTTCGGCCGCTTCTCGGAGCTGAGCGCCGAGGGAGAGGGAGAGAACGCGCTCTTCTCAGGTGCGATCGCGACCGCATAGTTTCGCAGATTTTTCTCACCGGTGGAAACATCCCCACCGGTGGCATCTCGATCCGTCCTCGCGGCGTCCTCTCGCCGTAGGAAATCAAAGATGTCGGGAATCGCGCGCCGGCATCGCTCCCTGTTTTAGATTCGACGCGACGCGCGAAGAAAGAGGAGCCGTCGTCGATCAAGAGAGGGAGAGAGATAGAGAGGGAGGAGCAAAGAGAGAAAGGAAAGAAAGAAGGAATGAGCGGTAAGCGGCGGTTCGGATCGTCGGCACGATCGCCGCGCGAGAGCTCGAAGACGATATACGCGACGACGTGCGAGCGTTCGACACTCCGAAAGTCGAGAAAGAGTGTCGCAGGGTCTCCTCGTCTCTCTCGCTCTCATGTAATACTACTGTAAACATACGACTGTCACTCATTAAAAAAAAAAAAGTCAAGTAGTTGTTTCTTTTTGTTTCTTCTATGATTTCTTATGATTTATATATGTTTTTGTTACAGGGGTCCCGCGAACATTTTCGGCTAGGCCTTACCGAGGAGGTTGGTTCGTTTGTTTGGTTTGCAATTAGGATTAGTCAGTAGATTTTTTTCTCTAAAGCCCTAGTCCTCTCCTTTTACTTTCTTCTTCACGCGTAATAGATCTTCGCTTTTAACATACATATAATACTCGTCTGTCTCTCTTTCCCCTGTAATTCTCTCTTACTACTTCTCTATATCTATATATCTATCTATCTCTCTCTCTATATATATATATATATCTCTATATCTCTCTCTCTGTCTCTTTCACTATCTACCTTCCCTTTATTCTCTCTTGATGCCTCGATCGTCGCTCGACCATGCTAACACCAATCACCACCTTTTGATCGTTACTAACCGTAGCATATATATCTATACATACGTAACATGCAGACTCGATCCTTGCATATGTGTACTTAGACTCACACGTATCAAGATGTATGTATACGCATATATATGGATATGTGTATATCCGATTATATTACCGATTGATTTTCATATCAGCAGTGTGTGACTCTCACCAAAACTCCGACTATATATATTATACGTATATTATATATATATACTCGATTGACACCAGACTTGTTCTCTTGTTTTGTCTCGCAGGTCTCCGTATCTCTTAGCTTTAGTTGATCGATGTTTAGATATGTGATATTACTACATCTCCTTATCTCTGTGCGTGCCTGCGTCAATGCGCGCGTCTGAACCTACCTACACCACCACCACCACCAACTACCCCCCTGCCCCCCCCCTTTTGTTGTATGTGCGTGTTCGTGTCGTGCGTAGGGATGATCCCGCAATCCCGTCTGTTTGATCGTTCATTTATACTGGACTCGATATCTTAGCTGTAATGATGAACATTAGATAGCCGACTTGAATATTTAGTTTTAATGTCTCTCGAGAACGATTGCACCAATTATACCAGAGATATAATATATACACTTGTCCGTATGCTGCTTTGAACCATCCCATTGAACGAAAATGCCATTACATATATATACATATATATACATATTATATATATATATACCACATCTCGGTATCCGGGCTCTGGATACTCGAAAAAAAAAGAAACGCGACTAACGAGCTCGCTGCTAAAACATTTTCATCATAATGCATGAGAACTAATATTTTATTCATCAGGTGATCGAATGAGCTAGAAAAAGGCGCTCGCGGTCAAGAAAAAGGGACCCCCGTCGCCGGTGCGCCGTTTGCGGTAAGATACGCGCTCACGATATTAGAAAACCCTTCGTTTCTCTCTATCTCTCTCTTTCTCTCTCTCTCTCTCTCTGTGTACGGCCGCACGCTCGCTCGCGTGCGCGAGCGCAGCGCGCTGGCTTTCCCTCCCCTTCTCTTTCTTTTTTCCCTCACGACTCGTCGTCGTCATTGTAGGTGCTTCGTCGCCGAGGAATAACCGGTAACGAGGAATCGATGATCGTGCGCGTCGGCGAACGACGCGGCTCGTCGATCGAGCGCGATAAACGACGAGCGGCTTCCGATCGCTATCTCTCTCTCTCCCCCTCCACTCATTTCTCCCTTCGGGAGAACATTTTTCAAAGGCACCGTTCAGAGCGACGCGCGACAAATCGTTATTAAAATACTCTGCAAATTCGCGGGCCCCCGAGCGCTCGAGCGAGGCTACCGCCTCCGCTTTTCTCCGGTCTCTCTCTCTCTCTCTCTCTCTTTTTCTCGATCGCGATTCGCCGGCCGTAATAACCGACTTAATCGACGAGCGGCGTCGAAGTAACTCGCGCTGTGCTCCTGCCGTTGGCATAAGGAGCGAATAGAACGGATTAATGACGCGGAGGGAGGCGATGCCGTGATCTTAAAATCGCCATCGAGACGCGAGCGAAGAGAGTGGCGCAAGAAGCCGCGTCGCCGTCAACAACGACGGTGTTTTTGTCAGGCCGACGACGACATCGACGATGTCTCAAGGGTATCGAGTCTCTCTCTCTCTCTCTCAGTCGAAAGTCTCGCGTCCAAAGATCGACGGCGCCGTCGATGACGACGCTCGAGAGCGTCTCCGTGTCCGGTATTCCTCGAGTACGAAATTTCACGCTTGAGGAAGGGAGGGGGAGGGGGAAAGACAAGCGACGAGATGTTTCGGCTTCGTGTGGGGAAAATATTCGAATCGGTCTCGCGATCTTGTCGTCTCTCCCGAGGAGAGACGTCGAATTGGCCGAGCGCGCAGCGTCTCGGCGTTCCTCTCGCTGAAGTCGATCATCTTTCTCCGGGATTCGTCGGTCGTTAACGTTGTTTCACGCGATTCCCTTTAATTTCGATATCTTCGTGCGAAAAGTCCTCGAGTCTTCGGGTTTAATTCCGGCGCGCCCACTGATAGAAAATTATAGTTTTCTTTCGGCGCGAAACGTAGAAGAGAAGGTGGTATTATGGGTCCCCCTTAATATTTCCGCCGTTAGATTAGACGAATTCCAGCTTTCATTTGTGGGAATCGTTTGTTTAGTAGCTCGTCGTTACATAGTGGCGTTGATATGCCAATACACAATAACCGGCATTTGTTACAACGCTTATTCATTTTCGTGCATTCCGAAATGTTTCCCAGGCACATTTTAACATTTAATTACACATATTTCCTCGTACTTTGAAAACTTGGACGTATTATCACACGAATATATGCAAATTTGAGCGTTTTGTTCGTTACTTGACATTTTATTTCGCTGTGTACATTTAGAGTTATGCAATATTGAATAACAGCATGGCATTTTGCTAATTAGGTCTTTCGCTGGAATAGATTTAACAAGATTTTTTTGTCCAAGTTTCACGTCAATGTAATTATTCGATAAGTCATTAAATTCGAGTTAGGTTTGAAAGTCCACTCATTTCGTAGAAATTGTCCTTCTGACAAACAAGCCGATTATTGAGCAACGCCTTGTCGAATATAAATCGTAAACTTTTCAATTCAAAATATTGATTGACAAATTTGAACGGGCAGCCGTAATACCACCTTTTTCCTCTCCCCTTCGTTCATTTATTTTAACCGCAAAAATAAAAGAGAACCAATTTCCCAGCATATGCTACTGTCAGTGATAATAATTTTACGCGTATGTTGCTGCCACTATCAAATATATTCGGCGCCGAAAATAAGTACAATTTTCTATCAGTGTAACCATCTGTGTCTCCCTTGCGTATCGGCACGATAAATTTTATTTCGCACGCTCATGTGCGCGCGCGCGCGCGCGAAATAGGGGGGGGGGAGAGTGGTGCGAGAGAGATACAATTCGCACGTGGGGACGGCGATGGAAATTTTCGTAACTAGTCGGAATATTTGATCAGCCGGCCGCTTGCGAGCCGGCGAGCGCGCGCGGCTTTTCCGGCTCGTTCCGGCGTAACGTCGCGGGGCGAAACTTTCTCGCGGTGATTTAAAATTTTGTATAATAACCGTGGACGGATATTCATTTCGCTTCTATAATAATGCCGCGACCTGATTCGGGCGGGCCGGTTCTCGGAGATGGAACACCGCGGCCCCCGCGCTGCAAAGGTCAGAATAATAGTCCGTCGGTTCGCGGCTGCATATTAAACGTCATTAAATTATGGGTGGCCGCCTTGGATTACCTCCGCTTACGCTTATAAGCCGCCTCGGTTTTACGAGGTAAGACGTACGACCGCAAAGATGGAAGGGCGGATAAGGGCGAGGAGCGAGCGAGAGGGGGAGGAAGGATGGCAGACATCGAGGAGGCGGATTATTCTGCTACTTAAAATACGCTCCCGGGATCCTGACGATACTCCAACTATGAGACGGATATGAATGCGCGGATTAGTTTCGCGAGCGATAAATGTAGCGACGAAACTTTACGCCGCCCGCCGTCGCGCGACTAATACACGGCCCGCGGTCTTTTATATAATCGAATGAACGCGTAATTGTCGTCACGGGCCCCCCTCCGGCGTCTCACCGTCGTCACCGACACCGTCGCCGTCGCCGTGAGTACGCCGGGGTGCGTCTTGGCATTAGACGGGGGAACGTCGACGGTAAATTAACAACGCGGAATATTACGATCACGTTTCATACGTACACATATGCACACACGCGTACACGCACATACGCAGACGTGAAATTAGAAAATACAGCCGGGTACGGGGGCTTCGGGATAGGTAATTAACGTCTACAATTTTATTTTATTGCGTAATGTAATTACGTAGTAATTTGCGCGATCGCGCTATCCTACTTTTCGGTTAATTTTGCCAAATTACCCACCGCCGCGCCGTCTCGCTTTTCTATTAATTTATTCGTTAATTAAATCGTACGTTTGATCTAATTGAAGCGCATATATTATAATTAGATTCCTTCGGAATAGTGGATTACGCCGTGCCGCGATTTCACGGTATTCAGCCGCGCATTATCGCGAGAATGCGCGCTTTTTGCGCGGCCGGGTGTGGCATTATCACCGCCGATAATGCGTGACTGCGAATCGCCCGATCGTCCGTCTCTCTCTCTCTCTCTCTCTTTCTCTCCCGCGTATTTCGAAGCGTCCGATTGCCTCAAAATTGTCCGAACCGTTCGTGAGAACCGTCGGAAGAAACCCCTCGAGCCAATCCCGACGAAAACGCCGCCGAAGGCGTCCTGCGTTATATCGGGATATCCTGCGAACGAACAAATTGCACGTACTGATAACACTCGAGGTGTTACCACGGTAACGTGAGAAACCACCTCGGAGAGTTTCCTCGTCGCTCACACGGCCGGCCGGAGGCTGATGGTTCATTACCCGAGTCGAAACTTTGGTTTATCAACACTAAAGATTCCGTCGAACTTGGAAGACACTGTACAGGCTATATTGTTCTATCTTGACGCGATGAATCGTTACTCCCTGCCATTTTCTCTATTCAATCTAACGGAATCTGTCCGAGCGTTCATTTTTATGCCTAATTATTATTATTATTACTATTTGTTGTTGTTATTATTATTATTTAATAACGATCTTCTGGCCCGCGTGTTGTACTTGTTTACGCCCGCCATCGCTTTCTTTTCATTTATCTTCAGCTGAAGAATAAGCTTGATCGGATTTACT